AAGTCGGCGCAGTTGTGCGGGCAATGTAGGGTTGTCGGAGGCAGATTCCTAATCGTGATGGCTATCCGGACGTTGCCGTTCCAAAATAGTAAAGTGAAAGCAACTTTCATTACACTCGAATCTGATATTTGTGGTTCGACAGCGTCACAATGCCCACAACTTGCCGTGAAGCGGCTTGACGAGCTGAGCGAGTCTTCTTTTCCGCGCAAAGCGCGTGTTGCGGAGCAGCAGAGGCGTGCTGAACAAGTTTGTGTTTGCACGGCGTTTATGTCTGGCGCTGTCAATCGTAGCAAGTCTGCTATTCGAGGCTTGCGGATCTTCCTTAACGGTTGTGAAAATGACCTTTCGCATCTTGGTGATGCTTGTAGTGCGTCTCGCGCAGCGGCAGTAACGAGCGAGGCGATTGTTGCGATTGGTTGGTTAGCAACGTTAACTTTTCTCGCATCTTCTGTACTTCTGCATGACGGCATTACATGGACTACGCTATAGTTCAGACTTTTTTGCATACAGCATAGCATTCTCTACATCGAAGATACATAAACAGGTTGCATAAGCATTCGTCAGCGATAAAGAGCTTAAGTATCGAACGTGCCCGGCTAAGCTACTTGAGGGATCAATAAGTAGTACCCGGTCATCTTTGCTACTTCAGTGTTCGCGCTGGTTGTTAAAGCGCGTGAAAAACTCTGTAGCAACTCAGCACCTGCCTGACAAAGCAACCTCATCGCAAATCCTCGCTTGCTATCTATAAGCTCTACAACTGATTACGAGTGTAGCTGTAGGGCCACAACAGCACACGCTACTGCCTCTAGAGAGTTCAAGAACTTAAACACAAGCGCCTAGAGAAGACGTGATTGGTCGATGGCGTTGTGACTTACGGTTCTTGTCGGCGCCACACACGTACGCAATAAGAGCAAATACGTACTGCACTCGACAAGGCCGTTGCGCGAACCGTATGTCAAAATACTCGCTTGACAATACCATTTGGGGTGAGAGTGGGGCTTTACGGCCACTCTTTTTGCGGTAATGTAGTCGGTGACTAGGTCATCGTGCAAATACGCTCGTAAATTACCTCGTATATTATAGTAGCGTAGTCTCAGGCATCGCATGGTCAGCTCCGTCAAGGACCACCTCGTAGACGATGTTATTGGTGTACGTGCGGCCATTAACACTCGACTTCAAATTGAGAGCCAAGATATTGATGTTGTCACGCGCTTGGATGCGTAACATCACGATGTAGAGCTGCCCGTGCCTATTATGGGTTCTAGTCTGTAGACGCCAATCCGAGGTATCGTCTTACCCTGCGACTTGTTAATGGCATGGGCACACTTTTATGCGGGCGCAATCTCCTTTTGTTCAAAATTGAAGTGGTTGCCTCATAGTTTGCTCGTACGTGTGTCGGGCTGTTTTTCAATGTTCTGCTAATTTGTTTCGCTAACTCCTCCGCTAACTTCTCCGCGTCCGGCACAAAACTCCAGGTGGCGAGGTGTCAATTGCTAGTGATCTCAAATAACTTAGTCGTGCTAGAGTGTCGGGAATTGCCGACAGTAATACAATCTTATAGGCAAAGACCGGAGGCATGGCAAGAGGTGATGGTGTGTGATTTTTCTGGAGACGGCATTGCGCTACGTAGATATCGCGAACTGTGAAAAAAGGGTGATATAGAAGACAGCTATGCAGTAGTCGACATTCTCGATAGTGCCTGCCAGGTGCACTTAAAGACTGTAAAACAAAAGAAGTGTTCATTCACTATGCACACCTCTCTCTAAATATCAACGGACATATACAGATAAACGCTAACACTACACGGCAATCTGTAGCTTTAAATGTACGGGACTCCATGTGTACACATAGCTATGCGCAGGGGTACTTCCATCCAGTTGGCTACTATTAATCGCCTGATCAAAGCATTGCACATCCTCTTGCTAGAAGAATTCACTCATCCCTTGCAATCGGTATGAAATTTAGGTGTACGAATAACGGGACCGACGTCCAGAGTCACACCAATGCGCGAGCAAGTGAGCTTCGCTAACAAACTCCCTAACGCAGTACGTTCACTCGCCTCGCTCATAACTTCCGCAGCCCGGCACACTTTTTCAGCATTATCGCGTCGTTATTGGTCATTAGCATGGTGACCTACCCTCCCGTGGTCAGCAACTTGCTCACGATGGGACTACAACAGATACTATCACTTGTATTTGCCAGCATTTTAGATTCACTGATTAGTGTTGCATCGCGCACACTGTTTTTGGTTCACGGTCTTCGAATGTACCCTGTCGGTTGTTGTTTGTGTTCGTTCTGTGTAAAGACACCATCGCTATATTTTCTTCCTCGCAGTGTCCACTGTTGCATGGCTGTCTTCTACTGCACCCTTCTTTTTTCACAGTTAGCGATATCTACGCAATGCACTGCGGGTTTGCAACGCACAAAAGCGTCGTAAAGCATCACTTTTTGCATCTCTCTGGACTTTGCCTTAACATATTGTAAAGTAGGTATGCGACCTTCGACGAAAAAATACGCATCGCATTGTCTACATCGGACATTTCTGAACACGATGGACCAAAATATGCTACTTTTTAAAGGGAGCGACCAGCACGACTAAGCTATTCAGGATCAACTAAGCTGTTTAAGATCGCTCGCAATTGACTGTGCTACCCGGGTTTGCGATGGACGCGAAGAAGTTAGAAAAACACAAAACAAACCAAAAGACCTTCTGCTTGACAATATAACGTCACACAAGCACTAGCATACTATTAGGCAACTAATCCGCTCAAAGATGATTGCGCCCACGATAGAGTGTGGCCGTAGGGCCACAGGGCTGACCCTAGTAAAATACATATGCAGACAGGAATACAGAGATATCGCACACCAGCCATAAATATGCGCAACAGCGTCACTGCATGACCCAGCAATAGGGCTACGGAGGCAGATAGGCTTCTGCCGAGGAAGCGTAACATTTGAAATTAGCCACAGAAATCTCTAGAAATAGAGAACTTGACTTTGTCATTCAGTCGAAAAAAGGATATGATACATAGTCGTTTGTGGTCCTCGTAGATACGCTTCTGGTTTTGCATAGCCTACGCGAGTTGGCATGAGTGCGGTCTGCCACCCAATATTTCACGAAATGGGGAGTCTCTCCTCCCAGTGCTACTCTGTATCTATCGTCAAATCAAGATTAGATTCCGTGGGTGATTCAGAGCCACTATCATTAGCAGTCCACGGAAAAGGAACAATTTGAATATCAAGGGGAGTCGGCAAACAATGGATCGACCACTTGATGGCCCGCAAAACGCGGTCAGACCTGAACGTACTGGCACCTTTCGGTTCTCTAAAGGCATGCTTGCTCGCCGTTATGCCTGCAGAGCTGCTGGAGCGCTTGGGAGCAGCCGGTAATGTTAGTGCCATGTCAAGTTTGCGATTTGCACGATGCGCGCCGATATTGTGTGACTCCTACCGCAATCAACTTTTAGAGGTGTATCTGGCCTCGTCGCCCCGCCTGGAACGATAGACTTTTGAAGACGCCCACCGCGCTCTTGCCAACTCGCGTAGGGTACATAATAGGTGTTTCTAATCGCCGGCAGAGGACAAAGTAGAGTACTGAGGATGGGAGAAAGAAAAGATTTAAACAACAGCTCACTTCCAAGGACCAAGTGCTGGGGCCGAATCCCACGCATTCAGGCGTAGCACTCTGAAGCCCATTTTTTCAAATGCAATTTTTTTTAGGTGCGTTTGTGGGGTCTCAGGAGTGTCTGATTTCGTGCTAGGAAGCAGCAAAGAACACAATACTCGCTGATTGTTGCTCTACCCGAGTAGCATGCTCCGTAGATACCAACTTCACCGCGACTTCAATGGCTGCATCTTGTACTGCATCGCGCTGACGCTACATACATCACATTGCAACCAGAGCGTTCGGAAATAGCATGTGGTCCGTGTGTGATCGCCATAAAGCCTAGGCAATAAACTCTTTTAAAGTAATAAGGTTCTTGGCTGGATTTGGGTGACGCCATTCCAAGGGCACCTGGTGCCTTAGGCGGCGCGGCTTGCCGTGTCGCCCGCAGGGCCATGGCGCGCTCCGGCGTGCTGTGTGCTCTGTGTCTTACGTCCTTTGCCGTG